CTAAGGTAACAAAAACAATATTTAGAAGATTGATTAACTTGTTTCAGACAGCAGTTGCATGTTTCTGTATCTGTTAGAATTGGTTCCCATCTTGTGTAGCTGCTCTACTGGGACAGCCTTTGGTGACTGGGGAAAATTGGTCATAACTGTATTGCTGTGTCTGTCAATCATTCTGAGTTTTGAGGGTTAATAAGGTTATCAAGTACTGTAAAATGACTAATTTTCACTGGGTTTAAATTTCACTGATTTACCATTTCAGGCATCTTCAGTGGGTTTTAAATTCACGGTTTCGTCATTTAGATAATGTGTTCTATGCTAAATTTTACATATTCACTGGGTTTTAATTTAGCGCATTTTTCTAGTCAGCGAAATAAGCCAAATTAAAACCCAGTGAATAATTAACCCCTTTACAGTACATGTGTACAACACTATAACTGGTCACTGGGGTGTTGTTTACTTTGCACTTACAGGTATAATGATTTAATTAAATGTTTAGTGCACAGCAAGTGTACAAGTATGTACTAATTTAGAACAACTGGAGTCAACTGAAAGAGAGACAAATAAAACCAAACTCAGTTACTCAATGGTTCAAAAATACTAGTAGTAATTCAAACAAGAAATTGCACCCAGTTAAAAGATATTGTAATGTATAGAGAACAACAGCACAAGCAAAAATAAATTGAGACTACTGCGAGCATTTTTTGAAGCGATAGATAGTTAACAAGAATTGCAGTGCTGAGAAAGTCTTCAACTTGTCCTCAAAGCTGTATTGGACCAATCGTTTGTGCCCACTCTTCTCACCATTCATGATTAAAATTAGTTTAAGACACCATTCTGATGATGCAAACTATGTCTTCATCGAAATTTGCTACATAAATACAGAAAAATGCTAAGGAGAAACCACATGTTGAGGTCAGCCCATGTTAGACACATCTGAGGTAACAAGTCTGCATTCCAAAGAACTGCTACTTCAGGCCTGCCTAAATAATGATGTTTTGACTGTATGAAAGCAAACCAAATTTTAATCTTGTTTATTCAACAAACAAAAGAATTGTTTAAATTTTGCTGATTTACCATTTCAGGAATATTCAGTGGGTTTTAAATTCACTGTTTTATCATTTAGATAATGTGTTCTATGCTAAATTTTACATATTCACTGGATTTTAATTATGCGCATTTTTCATTCAGCGAAATTAAAACCCAGTGAATAATTAACCCCTTTACAGGAGACTCAGACTTTCTTCTTGCAGTTTATCTTCTGATATTTATATCTAAATCAGTAAATGGTCCATCATCTAGAATGGTACACTTGCAAACTCTCATTACTTCACCAAGCAACATTAATCAACATCTTGTCTGCAACAGTTGTCGAACGTTTCAGAGATAAGGTTGTTCTTTATTCTAGGGGCACTAAGACACAAATTGCTTTAGAACTGGAAAAATTTACTTCCATCAAGCTATTGATATAAGACTAGACATTGATGTGAGTTAGGTTTGAAAAGTTAAAACACCAAACCTTACTGAAGAGCACAATAGCCTTTGTCAACATGGTGCTTTGGTTCAGTTCAGTTCAGTGTTTATTGACATGAAACTCCCTACATTTAGTAATAGAAATCGACTTGTAATGTATAAATAGGGATTTTTGCATGTGTGTTGCTAAAGATATGACTCCCTAGGTTACATCATTTTTTCAACTTATTTGCCAATCACTTTATAGTTCTCAGACATATAACCTGGGGTGATAGGTGTTCAAAACTGTAAATAACTCACTTACATGTACTGCAGGCCTTGCTTTTGAAATGGATGGAGAGTGAAAAATGGCTCACCTGAAAGCACTGAGGCAAATTATGAGAGTGATATTAATTTTGTGTTGAGAAATAATTTCTCATATGGAAATAAAAGGATAAATTGTCAAGCTCCCATAAAAAAAATTATCTATTTTCCTATTGCAATCACAAATCGGCAACAGCCTGGCGTCTCCTGGAGTACGTGACACTATGCCATTACTCATCAAAGCAAGTGGTCATTTGAATGTTGATACATGTATTTGCTCTAATATAAAATCAAATAAACCAAATTAAAATTTGTTCTATACTGAATCATGGATACATTTTTCAATTTTTTTTTATCATAGAAACACTTCAGCAATTTATGTGAACACATGCGTTAATTAATATGACATAAAGAATTACAAATGAAGTTAGGAAGTCTTGTTGCTTTTCTTGAAAGCCTCTATGGGCAATACTAATTGTAAAGCTGTACTGGTCATTAAATACAAGTTGTGACTGTCCTGACTGGATTGTCAACCATAGATTCATCTACATGTATACTACTCACTGCAGAAAAATGCGCTCTCTCTCTGAGGTACATGTATCCTCAACAATATACAGATAGACAAGTATATACTAGAGACATATTGTTGAAATGAAATTCAATATTGTGGTAATTATCTATAGAAATCCTGGTCAAAGAATGTTAATATTATGAAGGCCATCATCAAGCAACAATTGTCAGTTTTACCACCACGCATAATTAAAGTTAGATATTTCAATGGGGATATATATTTTGCACACACTAGATTCAACGAAGATCCTGCATTCTAGTATCTTGTAGTATGTTGTTTCATTGTCATTCTAAATTTAATTTAGGTCGGAATCTGTTGTCAACATGACCCATCTGAAAGTTTAAATTCCAGATGTAAATGTAACTTGGATCTACTTTTCACCCCAAGCATGTTCATTGTGTCTGGACACAAACGTCCAAACTTCAGTATTAAGTGATGCGTTACATTCAACTGAGTGTATTGAATGGCTGAATTTCAGTGGGCTGGACATTGTGTACTTGTTTGCTGAGTCATGTGTTTTCCCTTTGTTAAATTTCCTGTAGTGTAGGGGAGTGCATGCATATAGTTGTAGTGGAATATTTGTTCATGGAGGTATATGGGCAATTGAATAAAAGTCCCTCCCATGTTGCATTCTTCTGGTATGAGTAGGTTCATACATTTGTGTACATATCCAATGGTTAATCTGTCTGGTGAGAAAAAAACATTTCGTGTACTCCTTTTCGTGTACGCATGGTATATAATTGTAGTGTTTCTTGTTAGTTGTAAATAAACACCCATTAGAGTAATACAGTATGTATCAAACAAAATATAATATAGTGTTGGCATTCAGTAGTAATCTTGCTTGGCTTGGCTTTGATTCTCTGTTATTTTTAAAGACAGTAATTTGTATATTGCTATGTACATTCTTTTTATAAAGCATTTCTCATTTAAAAATCTGGTGATTATACATGTAATTTTAAAGCAAGGGAGGAGTCGCCCACCCATGAGTCTTTGTTTTAATCAGTTATCATCACTTAGGATTCAATTCCTGCGCATGTGCAGGTAATGATCCCTTCATTCAATGTATGTAAAATCACTATAAAAAGTAGTAATTTAGTGCTAGAAATGGTAATGATTTGATGATGTATTTCTGGATTAAATTGGGCCATAATCTGCTTGTCTAAAGAACACCTGGTGAAATCTTTCAACATGCATGAATTCCACATGTTTGCTAACTTTGTCTCTCACTTGTTTTACTGTACATTGCACAAACACTACCCTAAACTTGTCTCAGTTGAAGATGTGCACTTTACTGTCGGCCAAATTACTACAGTATATTATAGTAATATGTTTATTTAGACCCATGTGCTGATGTTGTATTTACAGTGCTTTATAAGATTTAATTCTATTGTATCTTTTATGCTCTCATTAAATTATATGCACTGTACATTTTGTATGTCAAAAGATTTATGTTTAAATACCAGTTGTGTTTTATGAATAGGCTCTTATATCTTCTCCTATCTGATCTAGGCAATGAAATTATATTGCGTTTGAATAGGAATTTACATCTAATAAACTTTGTGTTATTGTCACAAACTTGTTGATTTGTTGTATTTGTCCTTGCACGTACTGATAGCCTGCATGGCACAAAATTTTGCTATTAGATTTAAGAGCTAGTGGTTTCTTAGTAATTTTGATAGTCCTTCATGTACATTTTGTAGTTACATACAGCCTTGCAGAAAAAGTGTCATAGAAATAAATAAATAATGTAATTTTGCTCAATTTGTTTTGGACATCCAAGTTAAGACAAATTGGTTTTATATAAAGAAAAAAACAAAATAAATTTTTTGCTAATTTTTAGTAGTCCAGTTGGGCTACTAATTTTGGAAAATGGAAGCCCCCAGAACAAGATTTGTATGCCTTGAGCTACGGTTAATTTTTAGCCCTGGCCTGTCTGTCAATGTCAGCATCATTAACAATTTGTTCTTTTTACAGTCAATGTGGTAGAAGCTCTACAGGAGTTTTGGAATATGAAGGCTGCTAGGGGAGCTGATTTAAAGAATGGTTCTATAGTAGTGTACGAGTCTGTGCAGTCTAACAGTCCCCCCTATGTTTGTTTTGTTACACTACCAGGAGGAAGCTGCTTTGCTAGTTTTCAGGTATTTGAAAACTGTTTAATTTTCACTGCTAGCAATTTCCATGACTTACTTGACCCTATGATATTTGTGAAGACATTTGCAAAAGTCACTGACACTCCATGTCAAGACAGCAGAGAAATTTTCATAGTTTCAAAATTTACTTTTTTTCATGGACACAAAATTCAAGATTTGTCTTGTGTGAATTTCAAGAGGTTTATATAATGATATTAAGGAATTAATTGAATCATTTTATTTATAATTTAGCTATATTTTAGCTCAATAGTAAAATTTTCAAAATTTACATAATACTTTAAAAATACTTTTTGTTGTATAAAGGTTGTTGAAATCATGATAGGTTCTGTTAATGTTTTAGATTTAAGGTTTTCTTAAGGATGAACATTTTATAATTACAAAAGTTACTTCTCTGTGTTGGAAGAGCAATGCAGCCCATTCAAATATTCACAGCTACAAAAGTTTGTAACTTTGTATTGATTTTGTGAAAAGTTGCTGTACTATAAATATTTTTTTCAATTTTTCCCCAGTAATGTTTTAACCAGTGAAACATTAGATGTCGAAAAAATTATTCTGTTTATAGACTAGTGGGTTTTATATAGGCATAAATTGACCTTGAATTTCTGTATGTACAAGTTTCTAATAGGCCTGTCATTTCCTGTTCATCTTTACAGAATTGTCCAACCAAAGCTGAAGCTAGGAGGAGTGCCGCCAAAATTGCTTTAATGAATTCGGTGTTCAATGAGCATCCTTCTCGCAAGATAACAACAGAATTCATTGAGAAAGCAGTAGCTGAAGCAAAGAATTCATTCCAGGTCAGTGTGATTCCATTACTCAGTTCAACAGAATCTAATTACAGACCTGGAGGCTATAGTGTATGGAAATCCACTGCTCTTTGAGAAGAGCAAAGCTGTGTGCTGCAGAGATAAACTGCATGCAGGACTAGCTGATTAATAATCTCACATCCCACATAGGTGTTAAAGTTGGGGATTGTTTGGTAAATTGTACTGTATCTGTTCTATTAGAAGCTCCAGCATATGCATACATGTATATGCAATATACTCTTTTGTAAACCACCAGTTGTCTTGTTTGCTGGATAATTAAATTAATTAGGTCTATCAACACCTGTAATTTACATAAACATATACTAGTACCCTACTAATGGAGAGATTATGGTTGTACATTATTTGCTGGAGCCAAATACTGTACAAGCATTTATGTTCACTGGCATTTTATTTTACTAAGTTGGTATTTTGAGCCTATTCTCTGGTTTTTAAGTTCACAAATTTTCCAGTGAAAAACAATGCATTCTATTGTAATTCAACATGATGATGTGAATTCAATTTAGCAGATTTTTCCTACCCGCCAGTGAAAATAGTGAAATTAAAACCCAGTGCATTTACAGCATGAAGGTAATTTGCCATTAGTGGCTGGCCAAGGGTTAACAAGAAGCCCAACTTATGTAGAAAAAAACTGTTTGAGGCTAGTGTTTGAACCAATTGATAAGCTCTGATACACACAAATGCCAACTGTTGAAACTCAGCTGTACAAATAACAATATTATTGAAGATATATTGAAGATGTGTTTTCTGACATAATGAAGTGTTACAGACACCGACCTTTGCTTCCTGTGCTATATACTTCACTGCAGCTAGAACAATACAGTCCTTTGATGTGTGGGTGACTTGTACAGTTCATGAAATTCTATATGGATGAGTCAGTCTTCATTCTATTTTGTTATGAAGAAATGACTGGGTGGAATAGTTCTCATGATCTGGTGTATTGAATTGATTATTTATGCCTCTCTTGGCTAGCCTATTACAGTGTCTTTATTTGTTTGTGCCTATTTTGACTGTTATTGTTGTGTTGTATAATGTGAATCAAAAGTCACATCATTGTCAATTTAATATAAACAAATCTATACACACAGTGATCACAATAAGAAGGTTGGGTTGACAATAAATTATTTGTAAGTCCCAGTAACAACTATTATTTGATGTGATCTTTTCTAGGCCCATGATGAAGACCCAGACAATCCCAATACTGGCATAGGAGCCTTCCGTTTTATGCTGGAGTCCAATAAGTCCAGAACCATGCTGGAGTTTCAAGAACTGATGACAGTTTTCCAGTTACTGCACTGGAACGGGAGCTTGAAGGCTATGAGGGAAAGGCAGTGTTCTCGTCAGGAGGTGCTCGCGCATTACTCGCACCGTGGATTGGACGACGACATGCGTAGTCAGATGGCGCTGGACTGGATATCACGTGAGCAGGAAGTGCCCAGTAGTATTGCAAATGAAATGGAGATTTGTGAGCAAGAAATTGAAAGTGCCCGATTGGCTGGCAGGGAACTGAGATTTACTAAAGAAAAGAAAGACATTTTAGTGTTGGCATTCAACCAGTTGGGGGCTGTGTAGCTGATTATTCCCAGAGATAAAAAAAAGTGAAAAAATGCCATCAGTTACAGCGAAGGGTAAATGACTTTACGTCAGATTAGCATCTTGCATTTTAAAAGTTTTTCTACCTGTGTCTGTGTTTCTATAAAATATGATAAATATATTGATAGTAGCATTGACTCCCATCTGCGTTTGCTAGCAATTTAAGTGAAATGCAGATAAATTATGAATCACCTTATAATAAACTTGGTTTGTGCCTAGTCACATGGTGGATGGCGAAACAGCTCATCACCAATTGTGACTAATTATTCAATCATTGTGTTTTTGTTTCATCGATTTCGCGTGTTATTCAAAGCACTGTTTTATATTCTCTCCATTAAACCAAATCAGAGTACAAATTATAAGTGGAATGAATTTTTTTTTTTAATAAGAAAACTGCCACTTTTCTGATTTTTAATTTGATTAGTTTATTTTTAAATCATACCTGTCCTAAAGATGCAATAATGGACCATTTGTTGATACATTCGTTGAAGGGTTGTGGTAGTTGCACCGCGTCCTGTTCAATATGGTACTCATAGCAACGTAAACATGTGTAAAATGCATTGTGCATGTTCATACTGGCGTTGCACGACGCCCCCCTCCCAACCATGATTTATTTATCCCCAATGTTTAGCAGTGAACAAAGTTTATTTTTTTAGTGGAATCAGTGAAATGTAATTGTTGTTGCTTTTACTTGTACTAAAATAATAAATGTGGTAACAGTCTGACAGGCAGTCAGTTTAGAATGCCATAATAAGTAAAATATAAAGTATGTTTCTTCTTGATCAAAGTCATGATATCACAGAATTGATGACATAGTAAACATTCATTATACGTATAGTAAATGTAACTGAGTTGTTTACATGTATAGCATATTTTTATGAGGATTTCATTATAGACAATATGAAAAAATATTGCTCATCTGTCCATATTGCATTTTTAAGCCATGTATGCCTTATGCATTTGTTTTTAAAACAAATTTTTTTTACTGACATTGCATGCAGGAAAGGTTCCTTCTACTTTAAAATTGAGTATTTTGTTTGTTCATTCCAGTCGTCTTATTTATTGCTTCATTTCATGCATTGTGTTGACAGTAGTGCTACAAAATGGATATGCTTGTCTGGGCTTCTGTTATTTTTTGATGCATATTAATCCACATTGGTTGAACTCAGCTCAGCAACCATTTTTTTTCACCTAAAACCATGCATATTTTCTTCCTGTGTGTGTACTTTTAATTCAACAAAATCATTGCCCTGTGCAGAGTCCTGCCTGGGCATTGATTCGGAACACAACTATACTATATTAAATATGAGTAACTTGGCTATGATTGTATTTGAGAGTGTTGTAAGCTTTTTAGAAATTAAGTAGTTTCCCCCTGTAATGTGCTTTCAGGTTAAGTTGATGGAGCACAGCTTTGTCAGTGATGTGCTCACATTGACTCAAGAATGTATCAGATATCCAAACAGTCAGGATTGATAGTGAGTAAATCATTAAATAGGTACAAAATATCCTTTCCTGGAGATGTATTAAAAGTTTACAAGAACAGGTTGTCAAACTTGTTTCCATGGCTACAGGGAGTTTGTCACCCACCCCCACCCAATAGTGTAAAACTTGTGTAAAACTGAATTTAAGATCAATTGGCAGGATTGTAGTAAGCAGACATGAATTTTTACTTCCTGATAATTTTATTTTGGGTTGATTGTCGTCATACAGGAATAAAATATGTGCTATTCCAATGTACAGGATTTGTTTACACATAGTTGAGTGTAGTGAATACCTTGACAGGAATGAAAAAATAACCTAAAGCAAATAAGAGTAACATTTTTATTATTTCCTCATGGTGAACAGTGATTGGTTACAGTTAATTTTCATTTTAATTTTTTTTTTTATTTCATTTGGTATTCTAGATACCAGAAGAATGACTTATTCACAAATCATGACTGCAATGCAAATTGTATAATTTTTCCTTTTTTTTAACTGGCATAGTTTAATGTATATTTGATCTACGTGCAATATTGATATGTGCAGAATGGAAATTGTTTGCTTTGATATGGTAGTGACATTCAGCTTATAGAGGGTTGCTATTTAATAATATTTTGTTTTATAATTTATGTACAGAAATGTATTATGAGCAATTGGAACTATCGATAATAAGTTTTATGAGTTTGATATTTATGTCACCCTCTATTGGTAAGAAAGTGTTTTGCTTTCGTTTTTTTGTTGCAAATTTTGCAATGTACGAGTTTGCATGGTAAAGCTGCATGTTTTTTTTTAGAAATTATTGGCACCTTGTATGTATGTTAATTGCTACTTGACTAAATGCAGTTTGGTGTCTCATTGAGTGTGCAACACTTACTTAGAAATCGTCAGCACTGAAAATTGAATTCAGCAATGAGAACAAGCTGCATAACTGAGCATTAAAGCAAAAGTTTTTTTTTTTCTTAACACAATAAACATAATCAACAATTCAGTAGATATTGTGTAGTATTATGGGAAAATAACTTTTTAATATCACACCCTAAAATCAATTACCAAAACAACAGACTTTATATTTTTTCTTCCTTTGGTTGATATGAAACTAATGTTGAAAATAATGTTTGTGGGTTTTTCTCAAACTAAAGCTTTACCATATATTTTTAGATCTATCAAATAAAATGTTGATATCTCTCAATTGTATTCTGTGTTTTCACTTGTCTCAGTACAATGGTATGTGGCAGTGACAGACCAGTGTGGTGGTATAACAAACCACTGTAGCAGTGTCAGACCAGTGTGGTGGTAGCATAAACCACTGTAGTAGTGTCAGACCAGTGTGGTGGTAAAATAAACCACTGTAGCAGTGTCATACCGGGGTGGTGGTAGCATGAACCACTGTAGCAGTGTCAGACCAGTGTGGTGGTAGCATGAACCACTGTAGCTGTGTCGGACCAGTGTGGTGGTAGTATGAACCACTATAGCAGTGTCAGATCAGTGTGGTGGTAGCAAGAACCACTGTAGCAGTGTCGGACCAGTGCT